AGCTGCGCCCGCGGTCGCGGTCGCCTTTAACTTTGAAGGAAGCGTTTAGGTTGTTGGTGAGATTCCTAGGAAAATAAGCTATCCGAAACGCGCAAGCGTGGACGGAGGTGTGTGTCGTGGTGTTTGTGTTTTTGTATTTGTGGTGTTCACTTTAATTATAATCATTTTTGTGTGTTTGTGTCGTGGTGTTCGCTTTTGTAAATCGTGTCCTGTGAGGCGAGGGTTACCCGTTCAGAGCGTGTTTGGGCTCTTACCGGACATTTACAGTGTGATTTGGGGGTTCCGTGAAGAGGTTAGGGGGCCCCGTGGGGGGTCGGAGGGGGGGTAGGGGTTCCGTGGATCATTATGACCAAAAAGTCGCATTTTGTCCGAACACAAAAAACTCATCGGATATCGACGCAGCTCGACGCCGCCGTCACGGCCAAAGCAGTTTCACCTTCCAAATCGTTTTTGTTCGAAAGTTATCGCTAAAAAACAAAATGGACAAATTGTCCTGGACTGACCATATGATTCTAGCGTAGCACTCGTTTTTTCGCCATGTTAGAAAACTTTGGACCCTGCAAATCAACGATACGAGATACCATAGCTACAGCATACAGCGGTAGATGTGTGGATTTTCGCGCTCAACCACTGCCTGGTTTGGCGTATTTTTCGCTATTTTCATCAGCGCACGTGCGCGTTCGTTTTGGAGAAGCTCGTCATCCAAAGCGAAGGACAAATGTTGATGGTCGTTTGTTAATATATGAAATGTCCTAACTTACAACGAAAACCGAAATGATCCAACAGACCAAGAGTGTGGTTGGTTACATGCCGTGAGGGGCGAAGAGATGGCACCCCCCCCAGACCGACTTTCAAAGCTCGATTGCTCCACGACCAAGGGGGAGCGGAAAAAGCCCGACACGTCTACGGAAAGCCCATCGACGAGCTGTTTCCAGAACCGTCATATTGGGTGTTGACAAGCTTGGTTGTGGAGAAATCGAACTTGGAAACCAGTCAAGGGGTGGTGCGATCTCTGCGCCTCTTGCGGTACGGGAGGAAACCCATGCCACCATATTCCAACCGGCGAGTGCCATCAAGAACAAGTAAGTAAAGGGTCTGATTGGTCAATTTTTTTGAAAGGAAATTTCCTGTGTAGTATGACTCTTTCTCCCAAAACACACGCACTCTTCTGTTGTGTGTGTGGGTTTTCTCAAGGAGACCTGTTCTGTGCATACCTAATGATGTTGAAAAACGAGTAACTGACGACGACGTCGTCCATCACAAAAAAAAAGAGCCGAGATGACTTTTGGTAACTTTTTCATGAATGCAAGCAGTCACAGCAGTTGGATCAGAGGAGGGAGTGCGGGACCTCTTGCTGTACGTTCTCTGCAAGTGGAGCTCCACTTGAATACTTCAATGTGCATACAGCAGTAGATTGTGTAGTCTAGTCTACTACTGTAGATTTTCGTGTTGCAAGTTCAGAGGAGAGATCTTACCGGTCATCATCAGCTGGATGGAGCAAAAAAAAGATCTCGAGGTTAGTAGTCTAGACTGTTGTGTAACGCACCCACCCGCCGCCGGATCAGCGTGTAGACTACATATATAGACTAACACATTATCATTTGATTCCGCGATGCACGAGGGTTTGCCATGTAGAAAGTGCACGAGCTGGGAGCGGCTGTACAGCGTGTGTCTGTTTTTTTATGTCCTTGGGTGCTTCTACGACCCCTATCTAGACTATGCGAATATTATCAGCCAACCTGCCTGCTGCTGTCTGTGCTGCTGTATCTGTGCGAGTAAAATAATAGTGGTAAAGATGGTACGTACAGCACTACCAGCATGGTATTTAGCATCGTCCTTATGTAGTATCTAAGACAGAGACATGTTGCGCGATTGTCATGCAAGCACAGCTGAGTGATACGCCACAGCAGTGCTCAGCTTGAATTATTCCTCGGACCGAACCCCAGCAATTGAAACATATTACAAGTACACATACGTGTTTATATAGCAAACGGTCCCGCCTCGGTACCATGTGCTTACTAAGCACGACTGGTCAAGTGGCCGAGCGGTCTAAGGCGCTAGTTTAAGGCACTAGTTCGAAAGAGCGTGAGTTCGAATCTCACCTTGATCATATTTTTTCCTCAATATTTTTCGACTTCGTCAAACTACGCCTGCCTGCGATGTACTGTATAAAGGAAGCAAGCAATACGTGCGCATGGTATGTATGCACAAGGACTGCTGTTGTCCGCGTAACGAAGCGCTTTTCAGCTCTTTCTTTTCGAAGTTCTTTCATTTATTATTTGATTGTTGTGCTATTGATGGACGAGTAGGTGGTGGGTGTGGGCAAAACACTATTTTTTTTTTAAAGAAACATAGTGCGGTGCAGGAGCGCATGTTTGTGTCATCTACCCCACTGTCTCGTGAAGTTTTCCTTCCATACATACGCATACCTCCGGGGCTGGGGCAGGTTGTCATCCCTACTGTCATCGCGAAGAACAACGATCCTTCTATCGTAAAGGCAACCAAGGTCCGCAGCCTAACAGAAGTGAAAAAAGACATCATGACCGAAGTGGGATTTGAACCCACGCTCTTTCGAACTAGGGCCTAAACCTAGCGCCTTAGACCACTCGGCCATTCGGTCGACTTGATACCGTTACTTCACAATGTTTACTATATGAATGACAGCAATAGCGACAACCATGAACAACTGTTTGATGGCCGCGAATTAGCTACCGCGAATGCATTCAAACCTTGCTTTGTCATTTTTTTTTTCTTATTATTTTATCACAAAACAAATCCATCTCCATCAATAGAAACAAGTCTAAGATAGATTAGCAATGAATCCATAGCGTGAGCGAAAGGCTGCCTGTATGTCTACGGTTTCCCAGACAGCATACAACGATATCTCCCCTGTGGGTAACAGGCTCAACAAGGCAGTTTGGTAGCCATCTTGTTGTGTATCTATCTGTATTATTATTGTTCTTGTTGTTGTTGTTATTGTTTCTCACATTATTAGCTCTAGAATATAGTCCACAAAAAATGGGCAGCCAGTGGTCTCAAAACCCGGCACACACGACGCCGCGGGGAAACAAAACAAAAATAGGGTTGTTGTTGTTTTTCTTCATCACATTAATTAAACTCGTGTCAGTTGCTAATAATCCCAAAATCTAGCAAAGACTCGGTCCGTCGTCACAAAAAATAAGGAGAAATAAATACACGCACAGAAAGACTACCCATTCGAGATATACCCACAGTCGAACGAATGCTAGAGCCATCAGAAGATCTAAGGAACACACAGCACACTATTATTAGCAAGAAAAGGGTACGCAAGCCCGAGGAGGTACAACACCTGCAATCCCTGCAGCACGTTTGCATGCTCACAATTGAACTACACGCCCACACACTACAAATCTACTACAGCAGCAGCATCACCCCCCTTGTCCCGCATTTGACCAAAATGAATGTTTGTCGACTACAGCGTACTGCTGTCTGATGAAGTGCTGTCTGTACAAAAATAACACCATGGTGCATGGTACACAAGCTCGGGGCATGCAGCTGCTGCTGTCTGAAGTGCTGTCAGAATGAGTCCGTCCGTGGACATACAATGAAAAAGAACACCCAACCAAAGCCATCATTGCATTTGACAATCACCCGAATCTATCCAGATCATCTGTGTTAGGCACAGCAGTGTAAACATCGACACTGACTAGGAATCGTTCCACATTGAAGGGGTCTTCCATGATGCAGGTACACAATTAAGGCACACCAGGGTTATCCGCGCCATCTCTGCCGCGTCTCTCTACAAAACCAGTGACGTCATCACACACCCAACACATGTATTCAGGAAAAAAACGGAGAAATAATTAACACAAGCGATGTTTGTCCGTGCGCCACGGTTCGATGCCGTCCGCCTGCTCCGGTGCCGCTGCTCCGGTGCCGCTGCTCCGGTGCCGCTGTGGCCAGTCCTAGCACGACCAAACTCGACCCGCTCCGCTTCGTACACGCTCTCGTTGCTGTCCATCCCAGTCGGTTCCTCGCTTTCTCCCTCGTTGCACTTAGGGTTCTTGGTCCGAAGATTCTCGCGTCGAAGGATCAACCAGCCCAAACAGCTCGTCAACACCTGTCCCCTCCTCCTTTGATGGCAAAACCAGGTTACTGAGACAGTACAGCTGCCTCTAGCAAACCTAGGGCCGTGTACATAGTGCCCGTCCATCTTTCTGATGACGTCTGCCTCCGCGCACAACGATGAGATGGGCATTGTTGCCTACACCGACGGCCTGGAGGCCCGCGCATCTTCTGCACCTTTGTACCTGACGCACCAGTGCCGACCCAACTCCTCCACCTGTACGAACGCCTCGCGGCGGGTGCGCCGCAGCAAGAATCGGTCCCTTGAGGGCTAGTCTAGCCCTGCTCGCTAGAAAGACCCCCCCCTCGCTTAGGGTCATGCCTAGGCAAAACCTTGCCGAGGCAGCGAGGGGAAGAAAGGGAGTCAGGGTACAAACCACTCGGAAAAAGAGAACAAAATGATAGAATGAATAATAGGTATCGCACCGACCGTTCGAGACATGAGTCCTTGGAAACCGATCAAAACACAACAAAAACAAAAACAAAGGGGGACGCTTCCCACACCCGTTCAAAGAAAAAAATCAAAGGGTAACGTACCAGCACCAGGCACTACGCACCAAGGCATGGGAGTAACGGAGCAAACAGGACAAAGAGGCGGCAGATGGACAGACAGCCAGACGTACAAAAAAAACAAAGGCAACAGCAAAAGCGAGAAAGATCAAGGTACCCAACACAGCAGAGCAGGCAGGGAGGTCATGAAAAAAAGAAACGCAGAACAGAGAGAGGCCGAAGGCAATACAACAAGGACATTCACAAAGGAGTAGACTATAATAGCATACAGCAGGGAGGGAAACAGGGCGCAACAACATCAGCCGGGTCGTAGTTCGCCAAAAGTGCTGCCTCGGCCACCCTACTCGCTTCTACACCACCACCAGTGCCCGGTCGCCGTTTCTTCCCCCCCACCGCCGCTTCCCCGACTCTCTTTCTCTTCGGTCCTGAGATGGCCGTACTCTCTGCTTCTTCTGCTTCCCTCGCGCGCTGGCGCTTCGCGGACGCTTCCGCCTCCTGCCTGAGCCATTTCCTCATGATGAACCATGCCGCCCCGTCCTCGACCTTGTTGTACCACACCTCCCTACCTCCGGGTCCTTGGCGCTCTCTTTCTATTTCCCCCTTCCTTTTCGTCTCCCATGTTGAAGGCCACGAAGTCCTCTCTTAGACGAGACACCCTGATAGATATACTTGTAGCAATGCCAAGTGGTTGTAGGATTGTGTGGTACGTGGAATGTATTTCCAGGATGTGCAAGGTACCCCTGTTGTATACTGCGTCGCCCCCTCATGGTGGTGCGAGGAGGTGCGTGCACGCGTGAGTTCATGTGAGTTCATGTGAGTTCATGTGAGTTCATGTGAAGAAGAAGTTTAGACTATGCAACAAACCCTACACGTCTTTCCTCCTTGGCGCGAGCTCGCCGAGTTGCCGACACCCTATTCAACACACGTCTTGCGACAAGCTACCCCCAGTTCGGATCATCCTAACA